TGTTTCCCCGAAAATAAGACACTGTCTTATATTTATTTTTTCTCAAGAAGACACACTAGGGCTTATACCACAAATGCATAGAAATCCTGCTAGGGCTTATTTTTTGGGTAGGTCTTATTTTTGGGGAAACAGGGTAGTAAATTCCTTTTCATCTATTAGGAAAGCTTATAACTTCTGCTCTAGCTAGAACAGATATTGCTTCTGGCATATAAGAAAAATATATAAACACAAGTTAGAAGAACAAAGTTTGAGTCCAGTGGCACCTTTAAGACCAACAAAGTTTTATTCTCGGTATAAGCTTTTGTGTGCATGCACGCTTCTTCAGATACAATGAAAAAGTTTGTGTGCACACAAAAGCTTATACCGAGAATAAAACTTTGTTGGTCTTAAAGGTGCCACTGGACTCAAACTTTGTTCTGCTTCAGACCAACACAGCTACCCATCTGAATAAGTTAGAAGAGTACTTGATCAGAAAAATGGATGTATTGTGTCAGCAAAATCAGTAAAGGTTGTTATACTATTTGTTTTATTGCACTTTATCTCAGTATATAGGATTAATTTAAATCATAGTTACTAACAAAATCTACAAACTTTAAATTTCCCTTTTGCCAATATGCTCAATGTAGTTTCTGTTATGGTAAAAGCCTATGTAAACTTGATACATAAGAGTAATATCTTATTTTTTCATTAAGAACTTGCATAATTTACTCTACAGAGACTACCATGGCTAATTGCCAAGGAAGTTGAAACTAAATTGCTTTATGTTTCTGGAAGTCCTTGGGGTATAAGGAAAGTATCTTGCGCCTGAAATGTTGTCAAACTCTTATCTCAAAAATATTCTAAATAAAAACCTCTTGTATACAACACAATAGAATCTTCTTAAGAATGTAAACAGGATAACTAACAAGTGAAACCTTACCTTTATGTTGGGTGTCCTGGGTTTAAAACATTATTTGAATGTATATTATTCAAACAACATTAAAACGGTTTATCAATATCAATAGAACAACGTACCTTTTCAGCAATACTATACAAAACTTCATCCATTTTCATACAAGTAGGATCCCAGTCATGCCCAAAGCGAATGACCACCACACGGTCTTCTTCTGAAAGAATGGCCTGGTCTACTTGCCAGCCATTGTGTAAATGAGAAAGCATATACGACATTTTCAAAACTTATGTAAGACCTGTAAAAGGATAAAGCATGCAATAATTCATAATCTGGATAATTCTTAACAAGATCAAGGTAAGATGTCTGTATTTTATTTTGTATTTTATTTCACATAAATTGCTACATCTTGCTTGTATAAGGTCAGGGCTGGTGATACCGCCTGTCAGGCAAGAAGCTTTATGGATTTAGAATTGTTTTATGTTGCGGGTGATGTTAACAGATTATATGTTCATTAAATACATTATAATAATGAACATAATCAAGAATATAAACCTATTTTCTTGATCAATACTGTTTATTTTTCAAAGCCCAAACCCATTTCCCACATACCCCATAAAAAGCTCAGGATCCCCTTTCTACTTGTCCTAAAGACCAGGCCAAACTTTCCTAAAATTCATATTTCAGATAATTTTGGGATGCAGGAGAGTCTACCACCCCAAAACTCTTGTATCACTTATAAAAATATTATATATGCACCCCAACCATCACTTGATTTCCTATTTTCAATCTCCAATATAGAGTGATCACTTCACCTATAGCTGACACATACCAAACTGACAGATGAATATTACACAGTTGCTAATGGTGCCCAAAGTCACCATATAAAATATACTTAGAAAAAGCGTTTAAAGAGTAACCAATCCATGATGAATAATCTTGTGCACTTTTAACAGGCTACTGAAAGGAAAATGTATCCCCCATCCTGGTCTTCGTTTATCAGTGAGTGCTACATCTTTCTTTTATCACTACATCCATAAATTTAATACTACATCCATACATTTATTACGATCTATGGAGAAAAACAATTTAGTCTTTCAGCTTCTAAATATAATTCATTGTGGCCTCAAATTAAATGTTTGTTTTCAGTTGCCACAAGGCAATTTGTAATTTCTGCTATGGCAGACTGCTTCACTTCTCAGATTCATGTACAAAGATGGCACTACTTATACCACAGTATTACAAAACCTTCAGAAATAAGGATGAAGAACAATACAGACATAGATGACTTAAGGAAAACTACACTGTGTAACATCTAGGCTGCATTCAGGCATCACATCAAGTGGACATTAAGCCCACATGTGCTCACACCTAGCTTGTTGTCTGGTTCACACAGGCTCCTCACTTCTTCCTCCTCCCTTTTCACAGGAAGCATAATAAAAGAACCACATTTTAAACAACCCCAGTTACTTGTGGCACAAAAATGCAGACACTTAACTGGAATTAGTCCCCTTCCTCCAATGGGACTTTGTAACTGGAGTAAACCCTGATTTAGAATGCTGGTGGGAGGGAGCAGATAATTTAACATACAAAGGCCCCGGTCACACGGCAAAGTTGCCGCGGGAGAGGCACGGATGGTGGGCGGATTATCCGGGCACGATCACACACCAACATCTGGGAAGTGGAGCGCACCCGTGGCTTACCGCCAAAAATGCGCGTAAAAAAGTAGTACCTCCAAAGTACTAGTAAACGTTTGCCATGGGCTGCCTCCAGACTCCTGTGGTGTGCAGCATTCCCCTCTGGTCCCTCGTTTACCCGCCGGCGCCGAGGGAACGACCCGTGGTGTGCCGGCGGCGCGTCTGACCGCGTAATCGCGGATCAAACTGCGCCGGGGCAATTAGCCACGCCGGCCCATGTTACCGGGGCCAAAATTAGTTTTAAACCAGGATTTTCTTCATCATACCCTGAAGGAGAATACAAGAAAGCCTAGCAACAAGTCAAGTTCATGCACATAAAGGTATAAGGTAACTTAACAAAACACCCGCAGGCAGCCAAAAACTTTTGACCAAAGTAGGAATGACACATGGAAGCCAGAAGGGCAAAAGCTCAAGATGACCTGCCTATCATAGCTTCCAAAGTGGGAGAAAATGGCCGCCAGAGCTCGAGGAGGGTAGACGTGAGCGGAGTTGCTCCGACACAAGCTACCGTTCCTGGGTTTTCTACCCTCTTCTTAGGGGCCCTGAGCCCCTGAGTCTCCCTCTCAGTTTGTGGGGGGGAGCAAGAGGCTTCGCTCCAGTCGAGCTTGGGAGCTGCCTTGAAGCGGAGGAGCCTGAGGACCTCCGACAGTGTCGCCGGATTCCAGTCGAGCATTGCGGCCACGGCTAGACTTAACAACTACTGGCGAAGCGGGGAAACGGTGGAAGCCAGCTAAAGCAGATAAGTATTGGAACGTGGGATTTGGTTTAAAATAATCCACTAGTCAGCTGCACTTATAAGGCGGTATATTAGTTTTTCCCTTCCCCCCCCCCCCTTCGGTTAAGAGCATAAAAGTAAAGCACTGGCCGAGAAACATTACAGCTCAAAAAAAGTGCAAAGGGGAAAACAAAGGGGGGGGGGAGAAGGTAACGAAAACCAAAAACTAACCGGGTTGTTTGCTATGACTTTTGTGTGTGTTTTGTCGAGTCAGCGTCACCGGAGGAGAAGCCGTGGGTCGACGCAGGAGTAGAGGAGGCGACTCGAGAGTAGGAGCGTCAGGAGAGCGGCGTAGAGCAACGGGGAACGGAAAGGCGGCGGCGCTGCTGGGATTGGCGTAGAGGGGAGAGGCGGAGCTGAGGAAGGAGTGTTGTGGAGTCGGAGGCAGAGTGTGACGCAATTCATAGCAGACAGAAGAACAGAGCGACAGGGGAACAGAGCGACGGTGACTGGCAGCTTGAGGAGGGACGCGAGTTGATGACGGAGGGAAGCTGATTGGTACCAGGAGCGACTAAGGGCAAAAGGAAAATCGGAGCAACGAACTATTGAAGCAGTTGTCTTACCTGACTGAGTATAATGTGTCTGTATGTTGAAAACCTGTTATATGTTATTCTGTTCTGTAACGAAAATGAATAAAAGTATTTTGGTTAAAAAAAACACTATTGAAGCAGCAGAGAAACAAAACATCGGAGATACGGAAGAAGGGTGGAGAGACTCCAGATGGACAGGATTGCCCATTGGAAACAGTGGGAGACGTTGGAAGGCCCATTGGAAATAATGGGAGCTAGGATTGCCAATTGACTTGCATTGGCTCCATTAGAAAACATTAGAGTACAAGTACAGGTTGTTGTTTTTTTTACCAAAACAATTTTTATTCATTTTAACATAAAAAAATAACAGTAATACAAAGGTTTCTTCTTTACACATTAAATACACTCAAATATTATTCAGATATAAATTTAACATTAGAATAAACAGGTTGTACAGTGTTTAGCCATATATTAAGAGCTTATATTTCGCATTTGTGATAGATTCCCAGTCAAATTTGTCAAAGGTAAGTTTGTCTATTATAGGATACCATTTCCCTGTTGGGTTGTATAGTTCACATTCATTCTGATCCGTAGTATTATAAATTGAAATAGTTTCGTATAAAAAAAAATCCCATACTTTAGATAGCCATTGATTTATAGATGGAGGATGCTTATCTCTCCATTTCGTTGCTATGACATTTTTGGTTGCTGTTATTAAAATATTAATCAGTTGTTTTTTATTGTTAGTAAAATGTCTGGCCACAGATTTAGCAGTATAAATTGTGGTTCCAAAGGAATGTCATAACCTGTAAGCATTAGTATTTTGTTTTTTATCTCAGTCCAAAATTTTAAAATATGTTTGCAAGTCCACCATGTATGGAAGAACGTGGCTCTCTCACCACATAACTTCCAACAGAATGGGGAGATATTTGACGACATATGTGACAACTTGGGGGGGCGGGACGTTAGCGAGGCAAATGGCGGACGCAGAGTAACCGAGCTCCTGAGACCCATTAAATATCCGCTACAAAGCCGATTTCTTTTCTAATCCTGGACATGGGAAAGCTTCACAGAGAAGGCAATAAGATTAAAATCATCCCGAAAATCATAATACCACATTGACACGAAGCACAGTCGCCTTCAACCCTCTCTAACGTACCGAGACTGAGGGAAATCACAATGGCGGCCGCAGTAAGTGCTAACGCGACGGAGAGTGAAACTTTTACGAAAAACGATCTCAAAGATATCTTCTCTAACTTTAAAGAAGAGATCATGAATCACATTAATGATACTCTGAAACCGCTGACTGAAACGCTTGAAAACCTGCAAGTAACTGTAAATAATATTGCTCAGTCAGCAGATACTGCCTTAGAAGCCTCCATTGCTAATCAGGAGGATATCAGGTCGCTCCAGTCTAACGAGAAATGGATGAAAGAAAGATTATTCATTCTTGAACACCGTGTCAGAGAAAAACACCTTAAATTTAGTGGCTTCCCGGAGCAAACAGAGAAAAACAGCAATTTAATTACCTTTGTTTCTGACTGGCTAAAAACAGCAGCAGATTTTGGCGCGGAAATAACTCCGGCACTGACAAAAGCATTTCGCATGGGCACATTTACGCCAGACAAAAATAAAGGCCCGAGAGACATATTAGTTGAATTCATGGATATCAGCATAAGAAACCTGATCCTTAAAATAGCAAAGGAAAAACGTGCTTTTAAATATGGAGAACATGACATCCTCGCCTTCCCCGATCTGCCGCCTGAGGTGCTTCAAATGAGAAGATCCTTGAAACCTATCACCAAAAGCCTCAATGAAGCTCAGGTGCGATACAGATGGTCACCAGCTGGAGGAATACAAGTCAGAGCACGAGGGGAAACATATGAAGCGGTTGACTTACCTTCAGGAAAAGATATCCTATACGCCTTGGGTCTTCCTGTACCCAGTACACCTCAAGATGATGAAATGGAACTAGATATGGCTCTACTCGGCAAGCGCAAGAGAGAAAGACAACTTACACCTCACAAGTGGAACAGAGTCCAGGCTAGAAGGCGCTTTGAACTTTAAAAATCGTATGTCGGTATAAAGGTACCTAACTTGCCTAGGAAGTCTGCTTTATACCTTGGCATTTACAATGGCTGACATTTGATACCTATGAATATGACTTGCTTTGTTCTGTGTAAGTCCATGTTCAGTTTATATGACACCAAATATAACCTTGGAATTGCTTCTTTGATAAAATACGGGTGGGGGGAAGGGGAATCTCAGGAACCGGTACAGTACCCATTCAATAAAGAGTTTGGGGTTCTGGTTATTTTGGCTTTTAACCTCGAAAACTATGCTATTGGAGCCAGAAGTGTGGACGTTTCTCACTCTAAGAGGTTACTGTGGGAAGGGGGGTGGGGAAAGGGGGGTTTAATTTTGTTAGTTTTTTCCACCTTTTTCAATTTCCTCTAGTTCTTCAATTGTTAAAGGTTTTCAGTGTTTAAGGACTGCAATATCGAGTTCATACATTTGGAAGCTTGTACTATTATTAGTAAATATAGACGTACCAACCCATTTTAAAGGTTTTAATTTACCTACCGTTAAAAAGTATACAAGCTACTATGTACTGCTAGAAGTGTCCGAGGTAAAATGGGGGAGTTGGAGTGCTTGGTGTTGGAGGGAAAAATAGACATTGTGGGTATTTCAGAAACTTGGTGGGATGAGGAAAATCAGTGGGACACGGTGATTCCCGGTTATATATTATATCGGAAGGATAGGGGGGGAAGGGTTGGAGGTGGGGTAGCTCTGTATGTC